CATACGAACATATTCGTAGTGGCCGTTTTCAACTGTAAAGGCTGTCTTTTCAACAGAACGTGGATCCATGGGGATCTGATGAAATCCTTGTGCTAAGTCAAGGATCGAAAAGTATTTTGCTTTTCCAAGATTTTCTAGAATTTCTTCTGTTCGGGGGAGAGGATATTTATCTTCAATAGTGACTTCGTTTAATTTTCGGAAGTAAATAACCATGCGGTATTTTTTAATATCAGAAGCATCTAATTTTTTAGGGGGTGGCTGTAATGCAACGCAATTATATTTGGAATTGAGTCCGCATAAAAAGGAGGTTAAAGCCATCTGTTCATATCTAGTAATCATTGCTGGGGAAATTTCAGGAGGCTAATTTATTCGAGCAAATTCTCGTAATTCATGAAGTTTGTTACAAATTTCTGAATGTAAAACGCTATAGTCTGGGGAATGAATATCAAAAAGTTGACGAGTCAAATTTTATTTAGTTTGGTAATCTTTGAATCTAGTGGTTAAAATAGCTGAAAGATGTTCAATAGTAATAGCATTAGTTTGTTCTGTAAATTCGGCAGGTTCGCCTTGTAATCTAGACTTAATAAATGTTAAAGCATGTCCTTTATAGGAAATAGGTAAAGCGTTATTCTGTAGACTTTCTTAAAAATGTAGAAAGATTGTTTGAATAGCCATCAAATATAGGAATTGAATCTTTTAGCATGTTAAAAAATAATTGAGGATTGTCGTGCTGAACGACATTCTGTTGATTTGAGGTAGCCATTCTCAAAGGAGATCTTTCTCTTTCGATAGGTACAAAACGATTAACAAGAGGCATAAAATAAAATGCATAAAAGATGCAAGATAAAAATGAGTAAAAAATAGATGAAAACAAAACTTAAAGCTATGCACAAAATTAGATTAAAATTGAAAAACGCAAACTTGGATTATTCAGTAAAAATCTTCTTTGTAGAAATGTTTTTTTTATAAATTCTTCTTACGGTTACGTATTAAATCTTCTTAGTTGCAAAATCTTCTTGATAGTAATTCTTAACTACTTACAAGGACAGTAACATCAATTGTTGCATCATCCAGGGGCTGGTCATCTTGTCTTCGATTCCAAATCAATGGTTCTGGACAGTTTCTGGTAGAATTCCCAGTAAGAGAATAGAAATTCTTACTTGATATTGGCACTCGGAGAGTCCAAGTAGAACAGGAGGGCCTTCCCGACGTGTGATACTAACTGTTGGCTTTCGTTGGTACTAACTTCAGTTTTCTCAGGAACTCACTGTTTGGCTTTCTCGGAGACACCGCTGGGTAGCTCGTCTATTAGATATTTCTCACAATGGTAACAGAAACCAAGCCTGGGATCCTGTTCGCAGCGCCAGAAATGAAACTCAGTGTGGTTTCGGTTCGAAACTATTGCAGGAACTTTATTGGTTGAAAACAGGATGACAACAACGCTAATTACGTTTCATATTTAGTTTATAAGAAATAAAACATAGCAAAATGCAAAGTCGGTAATGTTCTCACGAAGATAACACCTAAAGCTGTAACTAGAAACCGGAATGACGACGTTAATCAAACGGGCATCGGGACGGTGTTAGCCGTACCGTTGAAATGGTAGTAATCATCAGGATTCCATAACTTATACCACAGATAGCGGTTAGTTGCTAAGCTTTTGTTCGTTGTTCTGACCGGAGACCAAGCCTAGACGATGTTGATGAAATGCCAAAAAGCACAAAATATCTGTCCATGGTTGACTGTAGTCGGTGGGACAGTATGTAGTAGCTACTTTTTGTTTTTTGATTTCAGAGAAAAATATCGATGACATTGTTTCAATTAAAGTGAAGTCCTTGTTCAACCGACTCAAAATTGACGACAGTTCTCTCGACATGTGTCCAACTTCATGGCCACATAATGATTCTTTTGAACACACTAAGAATACGAGTAAGGTGCGAACACTGAAAGCGGTTAACGGTACTGCAGAAAGAGCCGTCAAGTAAATGCAAGACTCCATGGTTTAATCACTGCTGATGAGGTACAAAAATAATTTGTATTACGTTGCGTAAAAGATCTCAGGCAGGTATATCCTGACTGTAAAAAGAAAACTTGGATACAAAAAATTAGTAAATAATGTTCTTTTAATTATAAATATCTAAGAAATATAAAATACAAATGAAGCAGTATTTTATTTGTCCAATAAGAACTAGGTTTTGAAATCCATACATGGTTTCCCTATTAACTTTCAAATTGAAAGTTTGACCGAAAGTCGGCACGGATTATCCTTCCCCGATCGCAATATTTATTTTTTCGAAATTGGAGGAGATGCGTATATCTCAATTCGAACAAAACTTTGTTTGGGCTCATAGGCTGGGACACCCTAGTGTATAACAATACTGCGCAAATAAAGGTACAATAGAAATAAAAGAAGTACTTACTTTTTATCCCAAGAAGATATAGTCCTACCTCGTGATTCTAGGTCAGGAATCATCATACGTGTCAGTCAGCCCATCTAGTTTTCATAACCCGATGGCGGCAAAAATACGCCTTTGCAGATTACGCATTATTTGCCGACGATGTGCACATTTCTCAGCGAATATGGTTTAGGGTATCCATCAACCTACGCTACATGTCGCTCACTCATGGCGATATTACAAAAGCAGCCTGAGATATAGAGAAAAACGATTTCGAAAATCAAAGTTCAATGCCCTGTGACTCATTAGAAACATTTGACTAAAGCATATCTGGCCCAAAATTCAATTTAGACATTCTTTTTGGGGCAATCATTACGGATCATGCTATCCAAGTTCAACCAAGGTCCACAAAGCTACGTCACCCCCTTTGAACTCCCGTGTGCACTATTTGTAATTTAATTGATGGCTAAAAATACAGGATATGATTCGTTACCTCATTTAAGAAAGAAAAGTTCTTACGAGCATATGCTCTAAACTTCTTAACTTTTGAAGTAAAAAGTAAAGTACAATTTTAAGAAAAAAATCGTTTTCTTTTCATAACTTCAATACTGTTTTAGATATTTTTATGAAATTTGACATGCACTTACTAGGCACCAATAGGTACTTTCTGATGTAGGATATTTTTTAATATTTCTACCAGTGGCGTCCCTACTGAAGACTTTTAAAAAAAATATGGTACGCCATTGCTTTTTCCTCATGTACATTTGCAATAAATTTGATCTCTTGACTATTTTCCGTCCGATGTACCGTTTTCGTGTAAAAAAATAAAAACCATTTTCATGCGTTTGTGATATAACGAAATTATTTTGAACTAGTAGGCTGGTGCCCTATTTTGTTTTTAGAATAATGGCATTTGATCAATTACGTTGCGGTCTTACTTTGGCAAGAATACATAAACGTGATTATTTTTTATATTGTGAAGGTTTCCCTAATCAATAATAAAGAGAAAATAGGTCAACTATGACAAGATTTACAAATTGCGAGTCAGCAGATATGCATCTTACCTACGGACTTGCTAAGGGGAATCCGCTTATGCGTTTATATTTCTGCCGATGGTTTTTAGAAAAAATTGCTGAAAACCCTTTATTTGATATCAAAATACTCTTTACTGATGAAGCTTCTTTTTAGCACAATTCCATTCGAAGTTCCATACCGATCACGTATGGGACGAAGAAAACCCATCAATTACGGAGGCACATCATCAGAAGCAGTTTTCCGTGAATGTGTTGGTTGAAATAGTTGAAGATTTTCTCATAGGACCATTCTTCCTTCCAGGACGACTGGAACTTTCTTAAAAACGATTTGTCAATTTTGCTCGATGATGTACCTCTTTTATTAAGAGAAGAAATGTGTTACATACATGATAGTGTTCCTGCACATTTTAGCATGCGTTCACGAATCGCTGGATACGACGTGGGGGAGCTCAGTCTTGACCTCCCAGGTCCCCTGATTTAAATAGTTTAGACTATGTTTTATGGGGGCAGCTCAAGACTTTATACTGCACCGGTTCAAACTGTAGAGGAACTAAGGCAGAAAATTAAATTTTCTTGCCAAACCAGAAGAAATACTCCTGGAATTTTTTAAAGGGTTCGCCAATCCATGAGAAAAAGAATTGAAGCCTGTTTTGTATCAAAAGGAAGACATTTTCAACAACTCTTGTGATAATTAAATTAAATAGTATTGGTTTATTTGATCCACAGATATTTTCAAAACTTGCTGCAAACTTGTTTTTATAATTTTCATGTATTGCTAAATCACTGAAATCTCATGTGGTACTTTGTAGGTGAGATGTGTTTAATTTTTATTTAAGTAAAGTCAGTTAATTAAAATAACAAAACTCGTTTTGATTTTTTATGCAAAAACGGTGCCAAATAAATGAGGATTTCGGACGCCCCTGGTAGAAGTATTGAAAAATATTCTTCATCAAAAAAATGCCTATTGGTGCTTAGTAGGTACACGTCAAATTTCATGAAAATATCTAGAACAGTATTAAAGTTATGATACGAAAACGAATTTTTTCTTATGTTAAGTATACACGACGACACTAGACACCCGACACTAAGTGTATACATCGAATGTCTGTGTGTGTACATCGCCGCGACACTTAGTAGCAGATGTAGTGACGGTATCGCTCAGTATGTGTGTCGCTGCCGTGGAGACAGGACGCATAGCGCTGTCCGACACGAGTGTCAGTATTTCACGTGTACGTGATATTTTTTGGTTCACTAATGACGTCACGCGCGTGGTCAGCTGAGGAAATAAAATCATTGATTTTATATTTTGAAGCGCCCCCAGAACTATGGCAAATATCAAATCCTTATTATAAAAATCGAGTAAAGAAAGCAGCTGCGGTAGAAAGCTTGGCCGAACAATTTAATACTTCTGCATCGGAAATAAATAGGAAACTGCACAATTTACCAACGCCGTTTAATACCGAACTGAGAAAACAAAAAAAAAAGAAGAATGGCCAAGGCACAGATGAAAATTATCTAAGCACTTGGGAGTACTTCACAAGCTTACAATTTTTAATGCCAAACAGCGTACCAGCAAATGAAACACAACAAAATTTGGTAAGTTGTCTTTATTATTAATTTTCACTTATGTATCTGTACTGCCAGCTAACTTCGCCTTCAGGAGATACAAAATATTCTGTATATTCTTCACGGATTTCTTTACTTTCATTAGACATATTGGATCCCACTGGTCTATTTGAAAACAATACATTATCCTGAGGGGGATCTTGTCTTCAACTGCTAGGAGTTACTACACCATCAATTTCCTCGTCGAAGGTGCCTTGTGGTGCATACACATGCCTTGAATTCCGTTCCAAGAGAAAGTTATGCAACATGCAGATTGCAGATACAAGTTTTATAACTTTTTCAGGACATAATTCTATAGGTTCCCTTAATATTCTAAATCTGTTTGCAAGTAAACCAAACGCATTTTCTACCACTCGTCGAGCTCTCGACAGTCTGTAGTTATAAACACGATTAGGACCAGGTTGATTACGAAAAGGAAAAGGTTTCATAAGATAAGGCTTCAATGGAAAAGCATCATCAGCTATAATGACATAGGGTACATATTTGGTCCTACCGGGAAGTGGCTTGGTGCTGATATATTAAGTCTGCCGTCGCTTAGAGCATTTGAAAGTGAACAATTTGCAAACACGCCTCCATCGGAGATTCTCCCATTGCATCCTATGTCTGTGTAAATAAATTTGTAATTGGCATCAACTAATACCATTAACACAATGCTGAATGTACCTTTATAATTATAGTACACGCTCCCACTATGTTGGGGTGCTTTTATGACCACGTGCTTTCCATCTAGTGCTCCAAGAGCATTTGGAAAATTCCATTTGTTTTTGAAATCTTCTGAAATTTTTTCCCAGCAATCTTCAGATGAAGGTACCTGTAATAAAAATTAAAAATAAATTAATCTATGACTGAAATAAACATTAATTATTATTATTATTATTATTATTATTATTATTATTATTTTCAGAACTCTCCTACCAACAGCGAACCCGCCAACAACGAAAATTTGGAATCAACAGTTTCGCAAAACTCCAACACCCTCTCTCAATCTCAACGAACCTCTAAAAAACGAAAGAAGGAAGATGAAGCTTTAGACCGAGCGTTAAGCGACAAATCTGATGATGCTGCCATTTTTGGTGATTTCGTGGCTGCTGTAATACGGAAAACGTAAAATTCAACGTATCATTCTGGACATGGAAGAATTGGATGAAGCCGATCAATATTCACGTCCTTCTACTTCACAGTCTCTTGGTCCTCTTACTCCACTGCCAAATGTGACTTGGGAAAGTTTGGAATACACAACGTACGAACATTTGTACTAAGTTTGTCAATTGACCAAGCTTCACCTTTTATATTAATAACTAAAAAAAAATATTAATGAAACATAAATGTCTTTTTTATTTACTTACCTCCATGTAATCCGGTTTTAAACATCTATAGATAGCATCGCAACATTCTGGTATTATTTTGGAGATAGTTTGTTGTGGTACCCGAAATAGGTATGAGAGCGATCGATACGAATCTCCTGAAACGAATAAAGTAAATGTTATAATTGAAAATGTAGTAAAAGGTGTAAAAATATGATTTACCTGATGCCAAAAATCTTAATGTTATCGCCAAACGTTCTTCTACATTAATAGCTAGTCTCATATTCGTATCTTGCTTCTTAATCGCAGGTGAAATCTTGTTACATAAATATTGGAAATCGTCGTGTGACATCCGAAGAAAGTTTTTAAAACATTCTGGATCTTCGTTTTTCAATTCAGTCAACAATTGGTTATATGCCCCTAGCTGCGCTCTTCTTTTAATCCAATCTTTAACCCATATAGATCTCTTTTTACGCATTTTAATGGAAACACATATCGTGACAATCGCGGCAACAGCACGTCTATTCATGGCGATGAAATGTACGACACTGAATCGTGTAGACGGCAAATACACGTGAACCGGTATACTAAATGTATATACAAATGTCGACACAAAAAATTGCTTACCGTGCAGACGCAAGCGACACTAGTGTTGACATTTCTGTCGAGTGTCAGTGTCGTCGTGTATACTTAACATTAGAATTTTAACCCCCATTAGCTCAGAAGCTAAGAGGTTTAGGACATACATATATTATATTCATATAAAATTTTCTTCCTAATATGAGCTAATTAAATTACACCCCGTATTGTTATTCTTATTACTTTTCATCACTCATCACAGGTAGACTTGACACTCTCGCGAATAATCACCAGCCATTAGAACCTACCACCCTCCGCGTATCATACTCAATCTGCCCTTTTTCCCTATCAGTGCGGGAACAAAATTACTTCCACAGCCGGTTTATTTGAAAAGAATGGCCTATTCGCCGGCAGCGATCTTCAAAACCAGACATTTAGCTGCTTGGTCGAAGTAATTGAGGCTTCCTGGCGGATCGTTGAGACCGGAAACGGGCTCGGTTTGGTATGAAGCGCCGCATCGATACATATTTATGAGGTTCATCCTCACCTTTAATGGCCACCGATGAGTAACTTATAGGTAGTGTTTACTTTTACGTCGTCCCCTAAGACTAATAAGAACAGAGCATTATTTAAGACTATTGGCTTTATTGAGCAATACATCATATCTATAAACACTAAAAACATACTTTTATACACAACAACACTACGATTCAATTTTTAATAAAATTGACCATTTTGTTCTTGAGATAATTCTTATAACATTTACATCCCAAATTATTTAAAATTTGGTAGGAAATAGGCAGGAATCGCTTGTAAATTCTAACGCATGACCCCACCTGCAAACGAGCTTAGTAATATAGCTTCCGTTCGTCCGAACTCATTCAGTCTTATGGTGAGGCTCATGTCGTTGCTCTTAACATCACGAAAGCATTCGATCAGCTGTGGCACGCTGCTCTCTTAAGCAAACTTCTATCTTATGGCTTCTCAGAAAAGCTTTGCAGATGGGTGGCTGACTTTATCTCTGGCCGCAAAATATTGTCGGAATTGACGAGTTCTCCTGTTTATCCCACAACGTCAACGCGGGTATTTCCCAGGGATCGGTCTTGGCTCCGATACTGTTCCTCTTACATATCAACGACCTTCTTTCCTGCACAATCAACCCAATCCCCAGCTTCCTGGATGACAGCACTATACACGCAGGAATCTAGAGTGACAAGCCAATCTCTGCCGCTGAGCTAGAAAAAAGAAGACTAGCGACAACTTCCTCTGTGACGAGAGACCTGGAGGTTATCACTGCTTGACGACGCAACAATCTTGTACAGTTTAATGCTACTAAAACACAGTACTGTACTTTGACGAGCAAAAAGCGTCATAGCGGTCATCCGGTTTCGATGGACGGCCGAGTTTTGCCAAAGAGCCATTCATTTCGGCTGGTCGGAGTCCAGATCACCGAGGACCTGATCTGGCACGAACACATCTCGTCAGTAGCAGCAGCTGCTGGGAAAAAGCTAGGCTATTTGTTTAGGGCTAAGAAGTACTTTGCTCCGCATGACCTTCTCACTCTATACAAGGCCCAGATAAAGCCTAGCCCCGAGTATTGCTCACACGTTTGGAGTACTGCCGCCCCGACTACATTATTTATGCCCGATGCTGTCCAGAGGAGGGCGGTCCGACTGATCGATGACTCTTCTCTAACGATCAGTCTCGGGACCCTTTCTATCACTACACCAACGGGTTTTGCTCCTGAGAGTTCTCTTCCATGACGCCGACGCGCGATGTGCCTGCCAGACAGACCCGCCTGATTTTGGCGTCCCATCCTAACCTCGTACGTATCCAGAACTGGCCGATACGACCGCTTCTTTGTCCCGAAGGGGTCGAAATTGTGGAACAATTTACAAGAGGAAGCTTTTCCCAGTTATACTAACCTTAGGAAGTTCAAAAATCGTATTAACAAAATTTGGTGGACAGCTGTTATGTACAATTTGTCAACTTCTCAGCATGGTGTAGATTTGATCCCAGGCAGGACAACGGAGGAAAGCTGGGCATGTATCTTCTATCGAGAAATTAAAGTCTTTCGAGATAAGACAGCACAAAAGTGACATCTGTTACCACAATTGACCACTGCGAAATTGGAAACAGTAAGCTGACTGTTGGAACTGTACCCCGGTTCGTACTGTCAGCCGAGTTACCACTATGGTCGTTAGACTCTGGTGCTACAGTGGATTCGGCCTACTCGCCATAAAACAAACTAGTAATATAATTTCCGCAGGAGTATTATGTAAAAAACTTAAAAAAGTAAAAAAACGACACGACACGATTGCTCGCTATGATCGCTGTGAGTGCCATCCAAAGCGTCTATCTAATGACTGAACCACAAGACATGCATTGTTGGTTGCTTATTGGTTGTAGAAGGCCGAGTAGTCTGTTATGTTTATCTCTGAGAGGATGTGAAAGAAAGAAAGATGGTTGGGTATGAAGGTCGAATCTAGATGATTATGCATATTGGTCTGCATGTGTATAAAGTAAAATTATTACTGAATATACTGCCCGTGAGGTATATGTATAAGCACGACAAGTTATTTATATGTTATCCTTGCTGGAGAGAGGTTGGCCGGAGTGAAGATAACATGGCCACGCAAGACAACTGTTGATATATACATTGCTAGGCTCTACAAGACTATCCGTACCCTAAATCGTTGCCCAACACTTAAAAAAAATGCTGAATGAGAACTTGAAAATTGACGCCTTGACGATCGAAGTGGCTCTGTCGGTACCTCAGGCTGGATATAAGTTTTGACAGCTGACCTTGTTATTCTTGTCACCTGCGGTATTGCCAGCTCTTCAGACGTTTTTGCTACCTTTGCTATTTTGTTAGAATGTCATAAAAAAGATAAGATTTAAGGCATAATAATATTTGCCAAATAGGTGATTCCGATAAATAGTCCCATTGTACGTGCAGACTATATGTAGATGGATAAAGTCTGTTTCAGCAAAGAGTCTAGGTGAGAGTTTGTTGGCCAGGGGCCGGGCAGGAGGAAGGCGGGAGGGTGCAGTTGCCACTCTTCTTCGCTGCGGGCGGCTTTAAACTCGCGGGTTTGGCCGGGAAACGGGGGACTAAACTTACAGGTGAGTTCGTTTGATCATGTACGCATTGTTGCAACGCACGTTTTTGTCAGACTTTTGCTCTCTGATGACATAAAACGGTCAACCTCAGAGGAAACTTACAAACGACCTTTTTCATTCTAAATGATCCAAACAATCTGAAAAACCTGTCTAGAGCAAAAAACATATTTTGGTAATTTAGTTAATAAAATGTTTACTCAAATTTGCACCGGGTTACTGTCCGGCAACCTCTTGTTGTGTGTTAAGGGACATTAGACAAAACAAATTCGAAAAGTTTCACCCACAGATGAACAAAGTTTTCGCGTCGTATATTTTAGAGAAAAGAAAAAACAAATCTTCAGTATGACAAACCTAATAGTCCAAGTGATCTGTCTGGCATTTCCTTTCTCTTAGTGAGATTACACAATATGCAAAACATCGGTGATGGCGTTTTTCATGGCTGAGAAAAAATAAATTTATGAATCAAATGTTCCCATCTGAAAAGGGGAAGGAAAATTAAGTTATGCGACTGGCATAAAGGATTGCGTAGAAGATAGCAATTGTGTAGAGAAAGATGTGTGAACAGAACAATTTCGCTAAAAGGAAAATGCCGCTTGGCATTTTGTAATTTGACTGATATTTTATCATGAATAAATTCCAAATTCTTCCAAAGCATATATCACCACGATTCACAGAAGGTTGACCCCGCGTAGATACCACACGACGGCTGTGTGGTTAGCAGTGGGAATTTATAATTTTCTGTTGAACAGAAATTAGTTTATTTAATACCATTAACGACCATCCCCCTTTATTTGCCGAGTCTCTCGCTTTCCCTTAGACCTAGTATAACATAGTACAGTACCTCGCTATCGAGGTCGACTTCTTGAACATCAAGCACCCTGCTTCAGAGGTAGTTCTCCTCGATGATTTTTTGCTCATAATAAGCTCAAACAATACCGATGCAGCAGGTCGTGTTGATGAAGCGTTCGCCATTTCTCAAAGCCCCAGCTGGTAACGAGCCCTACGTCTTCCTCCGCGTTTCGTCACACGCCAGTATACTGCTGGATCTCTTTCTGACCACGCATCCTGTCATTACTACCAAGGTGTTGTTGACGTCAGCTGTTAGTCAGAACCGGCTGTGGCAGAAGAAGCTCGCCCAGGTCTCAAAATTTGGAATTGCTGGTAAGAGCTCAGATACTTTTTTCCACCTTCTCTTGGAGAGATGCTTGTTTCGCTGACTCAGGTGCGTCGACTGCCTGTGCGTCAATAACTGAAGCCATCCACTTGGAATAGAGGAAAACATCCCTCTTACAGTGAAAGTATCTAAACCAGGGTCTAACGGCTGCTTCAACAAATCGTGCAACACTGCTAGTCGGCAGAAGATCAAGTTTGATGAAAAATCATACCATTCTGAATACAAGTATAATGCAACACTTGATATATGTATATAGGTGTAGGTAGCAAACAGTAAAAAGAAGAGATTAATTTGAATTTCTCTAAGTTTAGGTTTGCTTCAATGAATTTCGTATAAAATCGAAAGCTTTCTTCGTGTGCATCCATATTGCGAGCATAGCCCGGTAGCGAGGACGGTCGCGAAATATCAAACATTATGAATCGCGCCTTTGCGTCCATAATGTTGTGACTGAGGCGGAAGCCTAGAGCGGCGGGACCTAGCGAGACAGATCGCGTAGGTTTCAAACGTTCCTGTTCCGCACTTTCTGGCTACACTGCGGGCCTAATCAGCAAGCGACCTAACGCGGTGTGGCCGCAGTAACAAACCAGTTCGGTGTTTTCGCTCGGCGCAGGCATGAGTATTATTGTATTGTAATGGCGGATACTGTATTGTTCATAAGTGCAATTTAATCTAAACCAATTATTTGGCAAAGTAAACATC